GCTTCTTCTTTTTTTCTTCTTTTTTTCTTTTCTCCTTTTCTTTTTATTTTTTTCTTTTTTCCTTTTCTAATTTGTTTTAACTTTTTTTTTATATTCTTTTTCTCTTCATAATCTAATTTTATTTACTGTTTTCACTATTTTTTATTATTCTTTTTTTTATATTGTTACTAAAGAAAGATCAAATTGTGTACCAATTAAATGTAGCTAATACAACCAAAAAATATTAACTAACATATGATACCAGTATAGTATATAGCTATACCAACAGGGTATACAATTGTACGCAAAGAGTTAAAAAAATTAATTCAATTATTAAACTGAAATCATATCGGTTGTCAATAAAAATTTCAAAAAATTCTAAAAGGATCTAATTGTAAGAGTATACCGTTACATTATATAGCATATATAATTTTTTAATTTTTTTTTGCATTTTCAATTTGGCTCCTCACGTTGGGTAAAAGCTTAAAGCAAATTAAAAGGGAAAAGGCAAGTGAATTTACGGGTAATAAGTATACTATTATGGTATATTGTATACTATTACAACATACTGTTATAGTATATTGCATATTATTATAGTATACTATAAGAATATATTATATACTATAATAGTATACTGTTGCAGTATAACTATGTACTCCTATAGTATATTGTATACTTCAGTATTGTTTTGTTGGAGGACTCCGCCTGACCGTTGCCTGCGGGATGATATGGCGTGGAGAGTATTCGCTTGATGTGCCATTTTTCGAAGAATTTGACGGTCTTTTTTCCGGTGAATTGGGGTCCGCTGTCACAACTGATTTCTTTGGGGATGCCGAAGCGACATATGATGTTCCTCCATATGAATGTGATAACTTCCTGTTCGCGTATTTGGGCGAATGCACCTGCTTCTACCCACTTGGAAAAATAGTCAGTTAAAACCACAAGAAATCGTACATTACCTCGTCCTGCTGGAAGGGGTCCGACGATGTCCATCCCCCATTTGATGAATGGCCAAGGCGATGTGACTAAGTGGAGGTGCTCGCGTGCCTGGTGGATCATTGGAGCGTATTTTTGGCATTGTTCGCACTTTCTAACGAAGTTGGCGACTTCCTTTTTCATGGTGGACCAATAATAGCCTGCCCGTATAAGGCATCTAACGAGGGCTCGATTACCGGTATGGGCTCCACAGTGGCCTTCGTGTACTTCTTCGAGGACGCGCCTAGTTTGGTTTGGTTCTAGGCACTTCGCCAAGGGACCTCCAAACGTTCTTTTGTACAGGTCATGGTTGATGATGTTGTATCGGGCCGCCTGCATTCGAAGCTTCTTGGCTTCTTTTTTTCCAGGTGGGAGCACTCCGTCCTGCAAATATGACATAATACGGTTGCGCCAGTCCCAAGTCAAGTTTATAGTGCATACCTCAATTTGGTCTATCGACGAACGGAGGAGGGTGACCACGTTTTCTTTTCCGCTTATGTTCTTGGTGGCCGTTGCTAATTTGGCAAGGTCGTCTGCTTCGATATTTTGTGCTCGAGGTATCTGGTCGAGTTGGCACTCGTCAAACTCGGGCAGTAGCTTATGAATTTCTGCCTGATATTTTTGTAGCCTCTGTTCTTTGATTTGGAAAGTCCCTGTGACTTGGTTGACGATGAGTCGTGAGTCACATAGGAGATGACTCGCCGTGCTCCATACTTGAGAGCTAGTTTCAATCCTGCAATTACGGCCTCATACTCGGCCTCATTGTTAGTCATGTCGGGACACCGTATGGACTGGAGAATGATTTCGCCTGTTGGGACCTCGAGCACGAGTCCCAGTTCAGATGCTGACGCGTTGGAGGCCCCATCGGTGTACAAGACCCATAGGTCGGATAACTTGGGGGAGGTACGGGAGGCTTCCTGCTCGGCCTCAGGCATTATTTTGGCGCTGAAGTCGGTGACGAAGTCGGCGAGTACTTGCGATTTTATCGCTGTTCACGACTAATATGTTATATCGTGCTCGCTTAATTTGATGGCCCACTTGGCCAGTCTACCCGACAGCTCGGGTTTATGTAGGATGCTTCTTAGGGGGAAGGTCGTGGGATGGTCGCTCTGATGTACGGTTGGTGCCTTTCCCGATTGAGGCGTGGACCTGCGTGATCTCTTCGGCTGTCATTCCGACGATCTTTTCTTGATTCCATTTGGACTGTCGTTAGCCGTTGGGTTGGACCATTGAGGTCGTCTTCATCTGCTCTCACCTCGGCACAGTAAGCGTTGTGAATTTCTTCCCAGGTGGTGGGAGGGTATTTCATGAGTCTGCTTAATAATTTTCTGGTCGCCCTCGACCCGTTCTTGTTTAACCCGAAGGCCGCTACCGCCATCCCTTCTGACACGTTTGGCAGGCTCATTCTTAATCTGTTGAACTAGGCAAGGAAGTCCCTGAGTCCTTCGCCAGGTGATTGTTTGACGGCGAATGTGTCATTCACTCTGACTTCTGCTTTCTTGGCCTTGGCATGGGCGGTGACGAACTTGTCGGCCATTTCCTCAAACGTCATTATGGAACATGCTGGTAATTGTGAGTACCATGTTAATGCTCCTCCTGTTAGGGTCTCACCGAACTTCTTCAGCAGCACCGACGGTACCTGCTCTTTCGAGAGGTTGTTGCCTTTTACCGCCGTGACGTAATGAATGATACGATCTTCAGGGTCCGTTGTGCCGTCGTATATTCTCAAATATGGTGGAATTTTGAAGGTTTTGGATATGGCATGTGGGGATGCCTCCTCATTGTATGGCTGTTCCACGAACCGGCCGACGTTCCGTTTTGGCAGGAGTTTCGAGGCGCCTGGTATCTTATCAACCCTTTCTTGGTGCTCCCTCATTTGGTCGCGGAGCGCTTTATTCTCATTCTCCATTTCTTCCATTTTCTTCAGAATAGCTACGAGGGCGTTGTTACCTGTATCAACAACGGTGTGAGTGTTACCTGTTGGGGGAGGAGCGTGTTGCTCGTTGATGGTTATTGGGGTGTCAACTCGTGTGGTGTTCCTACTCGCCCTTTGAGCGGGTTTGTCGAGTATACTGCTTAGGGTATTTGCCAGCCACGCCTCCAATAACTTTTTCACTACGGGCGGCGCTTCTTCCGTCGTGGACGTGGAGACTCCCTTCTCATGTGAAGCGATTACACTCCCATGAGGAAGAGGTGAGTCACTTTGCCTAGGTGAGGCGCTCGGCGTCACATTCTCCTCGTCTTCCCTGCCCACCTCGTTGATGGTGCCTAGGAGGTAAGTAGTGACACCCATCACTGCTTTCAGTCTTTCCTCTCCTTTTCCTGCCATTGTTAGCTTGTGCAAACAAGAAAAAAATGGGTTTTGTCGTTGTGTTTTTTTAGATCTAGAAGAAACTAAACTTTTTAACTAGGAACTCCCCACAGACGGCGCCAAATTGTTTGATCAAAAAGTTTTAAGCCTTTTTTGTTAAACCAATTTAATAACTAGATAAAGAGTGAATCCGAGTTAAAAGTATTAACTCCCAGATCTGAAGTTCAACAACTTGGACGGTACGGGACCGTGTTCAAGTCAACGAGTGCCAAGTTAATGCTCAATGACTGTTAATAAATATGAGAATGAAAACATGCAATAAATGTGACAAATGGCATTAAATGTAATAAGAAGGAATTTGTCACAAATGTTAAATGGGATGGATGATTCCTTTTTCTGACTCTAGCGTGTGACAACAGACTATGGAAGTAACAACGTGTTCTTGGATCTTGTGAATAAAAGAGGAATGTTTTGTAATAGAATCAAACAGAGGAGACAAGACAAGCTTTTTTGTATATTCTTGATAGTCAACTCTTTACAAGATGTTCTTTCATAAAAGTTTCGAAGCTCCCATTTGTTTCCTCTCCCTTCCTATTTATAAGGGATATCCCTAGAAAACCCTAAAAAAGTACAATTTAGGGGAATATTCAATGGAATATTCCTATTCATAATCCTAGAAATATTCTAACAGTTGCAGCCGTTTGTTCTCTACTCGACCTCGGCACTGGTCTCTCTTTTTGAGCGACTCCTTGTCACTGGACCATACTTGGTTTTGACCTCTGCCTCAGCTCGTCCTTCTGCATTCACTAAACTAGACCTAATTTTGACACATGCAGTGTCCATTTTGAAAGATTAATAGACCTTTCAAAAGGTGGTGGCCACTATTTAGAGGCGGAGACATGATTTAAGTTATATGCGTGTTTGCTAGAACTTATTATATTTTTAAAATCAAACTTATTAAGTATTTGTTATAATTTTAGTAAATTTTTACACATAAAATTATGCTCTGCGTCGAAAGTACTGAGTTTAGTTGAACCCGATGTTGTAACTCTATGTCCGCCTTTGCCACTGGCGGCTAATGCAGGAGAAACCAAAAAACGAAAAAGCAAAAGGGTGGCGGCCAGGCAGTAAGGCAAAGATATTGTTCGTTTTTTCATGATGAAGGATTTGGTCATGTAGTGCAAACAAATACAGCGCTATGTACATGCATGGTACTACTTGACATTGTTGAAGTCGAAATTTCCCTCTTATTTCCTATTGGCAAAAAACATACTTAAATTAACAATATCAGTCAAATGGAACTGACAAGAAAAAGGAAACACGCCTCTATCAATGATTAATGACTGGTTGAAGCTGGAGGGAACGAATTATGCGACGACAGCACTGGCGTCAGCAAAAGGTCGGACAAATAGGGAAAGCCCGTGGTGCAGAGGCGGATGCAATATATTGTTACCGGTTCATATGAACCCGATGATCCCACTATTTTTGACGCACAACATAAATTTATGTATAAAATTCTTCAAAATAAAAAAAAATAATCAATATATGGAGTAAAACCAAGGAGGGAGTACTATTGTAATTTCTTGGAAAAATAATAACTAAGGAGAGGTAGGAGAAGCAAAAAAGAGCACAACTATTTGCTTCATGTGGTAGTTGTCCGCTTAACCCAAATTCACTATTTTATCATTTAATTTCTCATACCTGACATAGCATTTCTATTTGCCAAATTCAGCACTATCGCACCGCCATCGTCAGCTCCAATAAGTCGTGCCAAAAGCTCATTACACGTATGCGTAATGCATGCGTTGTTGTGCATTTATTTCCTCTCTTCAACTGCTTCCCTTTTTTGTCTCGTTTCAGAAACTCCAGTCGTCTACTCGCACCTCCTTTCAACTTGTCGTATATATATATATATATATATATATATATATATATATCATTTCTTCTCCCCTCTTCTATCCCTCTGCCGCTACCTACATTGAACACTGAAAGAAAGGGAAAGAGGACAGTTGATGTTTTTGATTCACGAAAATTGACAAAGAATCTCGAGGTTGCTTTTCAAAACCGAATATTTTTTCCTTTGGGTTTAGTTGTTTCTATTAGAATTTGCCTAATTATACCACCCATTCAGCACTAGTTGGTTTCTTTTAAGTATCTTATAAACTATGAAAAGGCGGCGACTTTACTGTTTCATTGCATTGCCTTTTGACGTTTCTTTTCATTTTCACGTGTGCCGTTCTAACTTTTGCTTTCTGTCCTGTTTTTTAATTCATCCTCACATGTGTTATGTTTTGATTTTTTTTCCTGGTATGAATAGAATTGAGGTTCAATTGAAATATTTTGCCCGTAATTTCACAATTTTCCACAAGAGATGGGGCTTTTGGATCTCTTCATCGCTGCATCAATGCCGGTACTCAAAGTGCTTTTGATTACGGCACTTGGATTAGTGCTTGCTCTGGATCGTATCGACTTATTAGGAGAGGATGCAAGAAAACATTTGAATAATGTGAGCTTATACTTTTTTTTGGCTTTCGCTATTCATTAATTTTTACTAAATGAGTATTTCAACTATTTTTTGTCCCCCAATTCAAGGTAGAAGATGATTGATTGACTGCTTATGTTTCTTTACTGACTTGACCAGCTTAATATGGACTCACGTGACTAGGGAAAATGCTCCTCCATTTTTCTGGTTTGATTGATTATGTCTCAAGCTACATTTGTCGCTCACTTAAATCTTGAAACTTGGGGTTCACTCCTCTAGCAACATAAGGAAACAATATGGGGTAACCGTACGTGGTGTTTCAAACGTAGTTAATTGCATTGGATAATTTTAGTACTAGCTGCAGTATTATTGACACAATCTATAATGGGCTGCGCCTTTGTTCTTTTTTGAAGGATAAATACTTATGTCGTTTATTTTTAATTTAATTTACTCCCTTTTCATAATCTTTAGTCTTGCATCTACATTTTTTTGGTTGAAACATGCCATATCATCCGAGGCTTTTAGTTATTTCTTGCTGGTTTCTAAGTTTTAACTCGCTGAAACTTCAGCTGATTAATAACTGAATGTTGTTGGTGATATCTTCATGTTAACTTTTGATAACTTATTGCACATCACATAGATAGAGAAAGTCTGATTTGATGGACTTGAGCGAAGCTAAAATACTTTAGTGCGGGCTGAGATTCTGGTGAATTAGAACAACCTAGACTAGACTAATAGAATTTGCATGTCGATGAGGATTCTGAGGACTTTGATTAGGAGAGTATCTGAATAATTTTAGATCGCGTAAGTTCATTGAAGTTACAAGGTCTGGAATCTGCAGATTTTAACTTATAAAACAATAATTTGAAGAGTTCTAGAAGTAGTTAGTGTAATCTGACAGGACGAAATGCTTCTAAACAAAAGCACTGTGTAGTTTCATATAGCAACTTAACAAGCAAAAAATGGGACAACTATAGCTTTTGTTACGGAGGTTCCAAATGTTCTCACCGATTGCACCAACTACATCAATATCTGCAAGTTCATAGGTAGAAGTGGGTCTTGTGTTGTCATAGACTATCTAAACTACCATTTACCTTTTCTCAATCGACTCCCCTGTCTAAGTGAAACCTTAGCTCAGATAGTAAGTGTCGTCTATTACTTTTTCTTTTTGTTAAAGAGATAGCATTCATGGTGTGCTAATTTGTTTTGTAATGCTGATGCACCTCCTGCAAGCAGATCGTCTTTTTCGTATTCAATCCAGCCCTTGTCTCCAGCAACTTAGCCAAAACAATCACATCTGAAAGCATGAAAAAATTGTGAGTTCTCATGTCCATTTAATTCACAAACCCTGTGCTTCAAAAAGTCTCTCCTATTCACTCAGTCACAATTGTAGGTGGTTCATGCCTATCAATATTCTCTTCACCTTTATTATTGGTTCAATTCTTGGTTGGGCAGTCATTCAAATTACAAGGCCTCCTCAACATCTACGTGGACTGGTTGTTGGCTGTTGTGCTGCAGGTATGTAGACCAGCAAGAACCTCAATGATGAAGATAACTGTACATATCCCTGCTAAATAAAATTTTGAGATCTCAAATCCATTTGAAGTTATGAGAATCTCTTTTGTACCGTATCAACTCAATTGATATCAATTTCCTCATCAAGGTTAAAGTAAATATAACATAGTATGACTAGCCTAATGATACTGCCACTCTGGAATTCAGATAGGAATAAGTCTCTCGAGATTTTATATGAATTGCTCTGTTTAAAAGGTCTGTTGGTTGGAGAGTTTGCTTTTGATGTGATACCATTTTACTTTTTAAGTAGAGAAAGGAATTGGAGAAATAAATTTCACCAGAGAGATGTTGGTGATGGAAGGCCAAGTAAATCGATTATGTTTCACATACCTGTGGAACCAACGTGATAGGCAAAATAACTTTACCTCGGATCGAGATAGTAGGTAGATTATAGATGTCCCTGGTTCCTGTGCAATATATAATGTAGGTAGCTTTTTTCTTTAGGTAAAAGTACATTTTGAGTCCTGGTGAAATGAGAATTATTCAACAAAAGGAAGTTACTCTGTATGTCTAAAAAAATGTTCCTGGTCACTGTGTTGATCTATTGGTGCATTTCAATGCTTTCTTCTGGTCAGATCATATTATGAGTATTAAACAAAAAGGAAACGGCCATGGAGGTCTTGGAAATGTTGTTAATGGATTTTGTAGGGGACGCATAAGAACTTTCGAGTATCCCACAACAAAAATTGAGCCAAAGGAAGAAATCAACTAGCTTATTTCAAGTAACAAGTAATTCATGTCGAAATAGGATGAATAAAAGATGCAACAGAGCTCTCTTGTACGATGAGTAGTATCCAAGTTATGTAAAATAATGAATTTACCTCTGCACGGACAGGAAACTTGGGCAACATGCTTCTCATTATCATTCCAGCTGTTTGTAAAGAGAAAGGGAGCCCTTTTGGGGATCCTGGTGTTTGTCACACATATGGAATGGGCTATGCTTCGCTTTCGATGGCGGTATGTGTCTCTTAACTACTTTAGTTGGTTTCTCAAGGATTTTACTGCATGATTGGAAGGTATCCAACATTAAAATGATGACCATAATGCTTGTATAAAGATGAATTCCCTTTTTGGTATGCAAGGAAAATCTAATGCTTTCCCGGTGACTGTTCTTTTTCAGGTAGGGGCGATTTACCTATGGTCTTATGTTTATAATATCGTGAGAATATCGTCAAGTAAGAGCTCAAAGGAAGTTGAGATTAATGATTCTTCCGCCAGTAGATCTCCGAGAGAAAGCTCTATATCACAACTTGGGACATCAGCAGAATCACTACTTCCATCAAAGGCCTTCAATGGATCCGAGTCCCCACCTGAACAGCTTGAGCTGCCTTCCACTAGATTTGATCACAAAGCTCAGGTTAATTATTGATCCACATTTCAGTCTAGGATAGTCCAAGCTATACAACAATTAAAGTCCTTTCCCACTCCTTCCCCCCACCCCGCAGATGCTGGAAAAAACTACTCCCTCCGTCCCAATTTATGTGATGATGTTTGATTGGGCACGAAGTTTAAGAAAGAAAAAAATACTTTTGGAACTTGTGGTCTAAAATAAGCATTTTTGTGTGGCTATGGATCATCTCACTAATAGTAAAATGGGAATTTTAAAAATATATTGTTTTTAAAATCGAAATGTATCACTCTTTCTGGACAAACTAAAAAGTACCATCACATAAATTGGGATAGAGGAGAGTAATTAGCAAGTGAGAGGAAAGATGTTAGATAAGAAAACTGAGCTAATGCATATGAATAACATGAAAGAGAGGCTTTAACACGTTATGTTATTCAACATTAGCATTCTGCATTCTGCTGAGATTATGCTGCATTTCTGCTGAGATTACGCTGTACTAGGTAACCTCGGTTTTGAGTTTAGGTGATTCACTCTGGTCTCATGTTTGATTAGTTGTGTTCTAAGAATGGATTCCAACTGAATTTCGCTTTCCCACATATCCATTCAAGATTTCACTTATTTTGAGTGAAAGTGTTCACATCAATTAATTTGCTCAATGTTAAATTTTCACAAGACATGAAGATTTATGCACAGTTAATTTGTTCTCCAAGTTATTACGCATCATAATAAACACAATTGTGCATCAATTTTTATATCTGTGTTTGAATTTTTTGTAACAGATGCAGCCTGGGACTAAATTTAAGCAGTACATGGAGATTATTTCGAGGAAGATCAACCTGAAGAGGTTATTAGCCCCTTCTACCACTGGAGCGGTACAAGTCTATTGTTTTTCCTTTTTCTGAACTTGTTTTATTGCACAATTCTCCTAATTCTACTTTAGGCTTCTAATATGTTAGGCTAAAAGGAAGATATGCTGAAACTCTTTCGTCATGCAGTTGCTATTTATCATCAATGACAGAAAACCTCAAACCTATTTTTAAAGGAGTAATAGCAAGGCACGTCTTAAAACTGTCCACCCTGTAAAATGGCTATCTTAATTTTTTCTGTGCTTAAGGAATTCTTCTTTTGAGAGGTTGTCTATTAGCAACCATTAATGCACTAGCACCTGGTTTGTAATTCGTAGGGTGGTTTTCGATGTGTTCTAGGCTCTAAAAATCTCTAATTATGATAGGCATCTGTAGCAGCATGAGCATGCATACACCTCATTGGAGTAGTTCATTGATATCATCTCTCAATAAGTGGTTCAGAAACCTCAGTGAGATGCATGTATTTAGGCTAAGGCTTTTCTTTTGTTTTCCTTTTTTTGGGATAAGATCCTCTAGATCTTAGCAGTCACTGTATCTACTTGCTGAAGAACTTCACAAATTTGTGGGCTCCCTGTTCAACTGTGCACCAGTTCACTGACAAGTGGTCAAATTTTTTTACAGCTTGCAGGTTTTATAGTTGGACTTATACCTCAGATAAGAAAGCTGATGATTGGTGATGTAGCGCCTCTTCATGTGATCGAAGATACAGCTATTTTACTTGGGTATGACACATTTTCTAGTCTCTGTGAATAGACTGCAGCATTTGGTCCCTTTTTTGAGAATAATGAAGAAATAAACTGCTATATCTTGAGAGTACCTGCATACAATGTAATGGCTTTAGAATGTCCTTACGTAGAGCCATATATGATATGGTTCTAGCTGCACATAGTAAAGTATACTGGATATGTCACAAGATCATAGTTTAGGGCATGGCGACATTAGATTGGAATAGTCTGCAGTTGCTAGCTAGTAGTATCTAATAGTGTTTGTGTCTACCAAGTTGTCAAAACTTGTGCTGCTTGGTCGCGCACACAGAGTGTATAGCATCTTAGACTTGTTCAAATGATTGCAGGGATGGAGCCATCCCACTTCTAACGCTGATCATGGGAGGTAACCTTTTGAAGGGTTTGACGGGTTCAGGAATTCAGAAATCCCTGTTGGTTGGCATTATTGGTGTCAGATATATTGCCCTCCCTCTGATTGGTATTGCTGTAGTCAAAGGAGCTATTCACTTGGGCTTGGTGCAACATGATCCGTTATATCAATTTGTTCTTCTACTTCAATTTGCACTTCCACCAGCAATGAACATTGGTATGTTAATTCAGCTAGTTATACTCTGTGCAGCTTTTGTTGAATCTTTGTACTTGTTTATCTGTCCTATTGATTTCATGTTTCTTAACTTTTTGCCTGACCACAGTTAGGCACTAGCATATTGTTATTTCAAATATGAATGCTGCATACAAAGGTTCTAGATGGGATGACACAGTTTCTTGTTTCACTTGGCAGGCACCATAACACAGTTATTTGGAGCTGGTGAGAGCGAGTGTTCAGTAATTATGTTTTGGGCTTATGCATTGGCTTCAGTATCGCTTACTCTGTGGACTACATTCTTCATGTGGCTTGTAGCTTGACTTCATTTTTATACCAGACCTATTCAAGTTTACATGGCATGTGCAACGTTCTATTTGTCGAAATCACAGACTCGAAACAAACCAAAATTCGCAAAAACTGGAATTAAAAGTTTAACCATGTTTTCATTGTCATATAGTCCTAATAACATTATTGGAGTGGAGAAGTGGAGAAGACATTCTTGTACTGTGGCTCTAATATTGCAGTTGCTTTCAGCAGAACAAGGCACTAGTAGAGATAATAAAAGAAGGGGAAAAAAAGCAGGGACAGAGATTCTTAAACTTTGGAGATAATATGCAGCTAAAACACTTCAAGCAATTCGATAGCAAAATCTATCATTGCAAATAGTTGTGCTACACTGATCCAATTGATATAGAAAGACTATTAAAAGATGCAGTTTTTAGGTGAAGCACATCATACTAACTGATACTATTAAAAGATGCTTGAGAAAAGCAATAAAAGCTTGCGATGAGGGTTAGATGGGTTTGTTGATCTCGGCTGATGAGAAATTTGCAGTTATCAAGTTGGAACTTCAACAGATGGGTCATGTGCGGGTCTTCAGAGAGGAGTTTTGTCCAGATCATCGAAATAGGGATGTTCCATAGCTTTCTTTGCTGAAATCCTCTTAGCTGGCTCATAATGTAACATCTCCTGCAAACACAAAGTATTGCCAAACCATAAGTCATGCGTTCATTCTAACAGGGTAATCAAGACAGAGAAGTCCTCAAAAAGTCAAATACTTACAGATAGAAGGTGGAGCCCATCTTCATCTAGACCAGGGACAGCAGTTGAGAGTGGCTGGGGGTTCCATTGGGGGTATTCATGCCAGTTAACTAGCTTGCTCACCCCAGGCCAGAGTTCTTCATTAGGAGTACCTAGCAATCTGCAACCCAGTAACTGTTAGGACTAGAATAGAGGTAAGTAACAGAGCTCAATGCAGGTTAATTTTAGATCCAAACCTGAAAATGTGAAGCAGTTGTTGCAGCTCAGAGTCTCCTGGGAAGAGGGCTTGTTTTGTGACCAGTTCAGCTGAGGTTAAAAGCAAACCACACTCCATGTTAGTATATTACACAACCCAAAAGGAAGAAAAGACCATTCGGAAGACAAAGGATGAACAGGAATTTTACCAAAGATACAACCAACAGACCACATGTCAACTGCTGTGGAGTAATGAGTAGCTCCAAGAAGAACCTCAGGGGCTCTATACCATAGGGTTAATATCTGGAAAAAAAGGAACACACAGTGATTTAAACAAGCCATACATAAATGATGATAGCTGCTGCTGCAGAATAGCAAAAGTACCTCATGTGTATACTTCTTGATGGGCAGAGTATAAGCTCTGCCAAGTCCAAAATCTGCTAATTTGAGCACATTCGTCTTACGGTCCATCAGAAGATTGTGTGGTTTCAGATCCCTGCAGCAATAAGTATCGAACAATTAAAGAGGTGACTAACAAACCTTGAAAATATGCCTTCTTATGACTTGTGTGTAAGGTACAGCTGTGGTTTTACCTGTGTAACACACCATGACCATGGCAGAAAGCAACTCCTTTGCACAGCTGGTACATCAAGCTCTATTTCAAAGAGACCAGACTTATCAATTACTTGTTGAATTGCAGAGTAATAAATGAGTCAGTAGTAGCATATCGCTCAAAACATCCAGACTACAAACCTTTACAGTTTTAGGGGGAATGTTTTCTCCATTTGCGCGGAAACTACGAATAAATTTCTTGACATCAGTATCCATGTATTCAAACACCAAGTATAGGACGGTCTTTCCTTCTTTGTTCTGACCTTGTTTAACATCCATCAGTCTGATTTATATATTTATAGAACATCATATCAGAACACGAGATACAGATATCAAACGTCAGTAACAAATTACAAAACTAAAGCCTGATTTATATATTTATAGAACATCATATCAGAACACAAGATACAGATATCAAACGTCAATAACAAATTACAAAACTGAAGTGAAAAGGACAAATTAATTGAAATAGAGATAATGCCTAATCGCAGAGAAACGAATTTACAATAGAAATTTCAAGCGATTAAGTAAAACTAACAAACCCTAGGCAGAAATAGAGAAATGGAGTAAGAAGAGAGAAATGCGAGTGAGGGTATACATACTTGACGATGTGAGGATCCCTAGAGAGCATCCGCAGAAGAGAGATCTCGCGGAGAGTAGTAGGAGGGACACCTTCTTCGTCCTCATGAAGCCTCGTCTTCTTCAGTGCAACGATTTTGCCAGTAACCCTATCTCTCGCTCTGTACACCTTTCCGTAAGTACCTTCCCCTACCTTCTCAAGCTTCTCGAATGCCTCCATGGCCGATGCACTCTTTTTTAAAGTCTCCATTTCTCTCTCTCTCTCAATCGCTCTCTGCTCTGTTTATGGTTTTTGAATTTTGTGTAAATGATTTCCTTTAACGGAGCGCCTCAATGGGCCTTTATATATTACAACATAACCGTCTTCTCGTCGCACAACGGCAGTATTTTTGAATTTCAAACGAGAGATTCACTTTCATTTCTAATTCCATTACTGCCCCTCTGTTTTTTCGATTCCCTCCTACTTTTGAGTTTTGCTTGCTACCTGGCCGCGCTAATACGAGGGTGCTTGGCTAAGCTTATAAGCTGGTCAAACTGCCTTATAAGCATTTTTTGGCTTATTTACGCGTTTGGTAAAGTTAAAAATGCTTATAAGTTAAGTGCTTATAAGCCGAAAATAAGCCAAAAGCCATAAGTTGGTCTCCCCCAACTTATCAAATTTCAGCTTATAAGCACTTTAAGTTTGACCAAAATATTAACTATTCTATCCCTAAAATACTTCTTTTTAAAACAAAACTCTTCGTATATCCAGTTCTTCAGCTGCATATTATTAATTTCAGCACTTTTATCCAAACACGTAACTGCTTATTTTTTAAATCAACTTCAGCACTTAAAAGTGCTTTTCAGCACATAATGCTTATCAGCTACTCTAAATCAGCTAAGCCAAACGGGCTCTATATTGGATTAGACACCCATTTTTCTCCTCAATTTTCCTTTTCCCATTTTTTTTTTAAATTCATTTATTTTGCTGAACTAGTTAAAGGGGTCGTTTGGTATGCATACTATATTATCCCGGGATTATAATCCTGTATAATTTCTAGATTATTTTATTCTGGGATAAAATAATCTCAAGTTTGATGGGATAAGACGAGGTATCCAGAATTAAGTCCGATATTAAATTTATATAGTGTTTGGTTGGCGGTATAAATTATATTAGGATAAATTTAAACCCCAACCAAACACGGTATAAATTTAATTCAACATCTTATCCTACCTTATCCCACGTACCAAACTTTTTACACATCTTACTGGTTATTGACAAGTGAAACTCATCCCTGTCCGACAATAGTGCACTTTTATCACCAATCCATAAGTTGGATATCCAGACTCATGTTAAGAAGTAAAAACAATGCTATTCCGTATAAAGTGAGGCAGGATAAAAACGCATATCCTATTGGAAAAACTTACTCACGCTTAAATTTTTTACCAAAACCACATTAAATTTACCATGATTAGGTGACAGATTTAGTTGACATTATAGAAGTATGTCTAAAAGACACATTCCATGTATTTCTTGATTAGATGAAACACCCAGTGCGGTCAGTATTCTCCCTATCCTACTGGTTATTTGAAAAACAACCTGCATTTATACTAGTAGAGCTAAAGTGCACAAGAGGAATGCGATTTCTTGCTTCCCTAAGTAACATCCTCCGTGTTAAGTCTCTGCATTAGAAACCCCAAGCCCCTACAAGCAGGCTTGAGTTGGGTAGCTTCATATTTCTCGACCAATCCTTCCTTATTCACATCTTTGCTGAAAGAACTATTTTTGTGATTCCTTGCATAAGGATTCAGAAAATACCGTGCTGCTGCCTACATATATCATTAGACGTATATACATAAGACAAGTCCTCGACATTAATCAATACCTCACTTGTAAAGAACAAAAGGCCGCGTAGCTGATACAAAAGCAGTTCATCCACGTACAACACCCAGTTACCCCCTCTACCAAAATACAGCTCTCGGGTCAGATCTAATTCAACCATATAGACGGAAACTGTTACATTGTAATTTCTCCTCCATAGCAAGATGATAACACATGCAATCCTGACAGGCAAAAAGTGGACTTGCGACACTTGGGAGTCACAAGTTTTTCCCCAATGGAGTGTATATATATACAAAGAATTTGAAGTGCCTTCTATAGCTCAAGTCATTTGATTAAACCTCATACTTTGTATCTTCAAAGATATTCTCAGCTTCTGCTCCTCCATTTCTCTCAATATACTCAACAGTTTTGCTCGATAAGCTTCACATATCTCAGTTGCATTTACCACAGCAGTTGTTAATTCCAGAATTTTCTCATCTTGACTCTACAAAAGGTAAAACAAATGCATATTGTGTCAGTTGACTGAAAGCATGATGCATGAATGGTCAAAAGAGCATCACAGAACTATATGTTGAACTTCTATCAGGGAAAGCTAGTCTCTCGACAATGTGAGTGAAAATTAGAGCCCACGGTCTCGAGCTGTTCTATTGGTCAAACAATCTCCTTGTTGACCTTTGAATTTATGGCTCAGCTTGTGAACATGTTGAATCATATTCATGAAAGGTAAAAGAAATGCATATCGTGTCAGTTGCACACTAAAATCATTGATGCATTAATGGTCAAAAGCATCGGAAAACTAATATGTTGAACTTCTATTAGCGAACCGAGTCTCCTGACAATGTGACTTAAAATTGCAGCCCACAGTCTCAAGTTGATTTATTTGTGACTTCAAATTCTAGCCCAAAGTCTCATGTTGACCTCTGAATTTATGATTGATCAACCATGACATTGAGTTATAAGATATTCATGGGTCACATCCACGACAGGGCTGCTTCTTGACATGACAAATTTTGATGTTTGTTAATCAACTCAAAAAGTCATAAGAATGACTTGGACGTACAATTGAAGAAAACTTTGGCGCTAAATGCTAGCATTAGTTTCAGACAAACCTGATTAGAGTTCCTCCTTGGCAGTAATGCAAGATATTGGAGTACATTTTAAATAATAGGAATAAAACTGGAAAAAAAATAAAACTTAAAAAGGAAAACAGAGGCCATAAGTGCCTGCAATTACGTCTTAATGCAGGCACTTAATGTTTTTTGGGCATAAGATGGAAGGGAAAGTTTAGAGGACTGCTGAAAAGGAAGCAAGAAGATGAATATGACCATTCATGGTGAGCAAGAATAGGATGGCAAAGGATCAACATTGGCAGTGGGGGGTTGGAAGAGGAACACAAAAGGGTGGGTAGCTTAGAAGGCTTGAGGAGCCAAGGCATGGCAGATATATGAGTGACCTAAGATTGACTAGGATAACCACATCATTTACAAAGCTTAAGCTGTTAGGGATAAGACACTTCTATTCATTTATTTTGGGTGTGCAGACAAAAGTAATAGCCAGCTGCTATTGGTTTCAGTAAAAGCATGTTTTATGGTTTAGGGGAAGTAGTTCCTTGTGAGAGAATCAGAGAGCAGCACCCAAAAGAACCCAACATACCCATAAACAGATCATCTTAACATAGCTCTTCCTAGCAGATAAATGTGAGAAGATAAAATTCTACCACAGTATATAGGAGAGGACAAAGAAACGCAAACAAACTTCATCAAGACTTTGAAACACTCGCAATGCGTCATTAGACTAATTCACAGTCTAGGAAATAACACTCTCAAGGTCAAGTGACACCAAATAAAAATTAATGCATGTGAAGATGTGACCAGTGAATATCTACAAGGTTCCAAGATCCAAGAAGCTAAATTCATTAATGGGCTTCCAGAGACAAAAGATATAATCGATCAGAGTCCTTGTTTACAGCTGTGATGAATTCAAAATCCCATAATTGCAACTTTGCATTTTCTTTTTAAGAACAAAAAAAGCAAACAGATAATAAGTAACACAAATAATGAAAGATCGGAGACCAAGCACAAGCATGAACAGCACCCTATGAGGAGCCATGAGACTTGAGAGCTCAATGGTTATGTATAGCAACATCAAAACTTAACTATCCTAATAGAAACTATCCTAATAGAAAGGAAAGAATGTAGAGCGAACAATAAAGGACTAGTGAAATTAACTAAGTTGTTCAACCATTACAGAAGGCACGAGCCTGGAATTGAAGCACAAACAATGTTTTCCAAGGAGCTTAAAAATTTACAACATTATTCTCCCTTTATCATTTCCTTTAATTTTTCGGGGCTGGTTTTTTTTTTTTTTTTTTTTTTTTGGTTTGTGGGGGGGACAGTGTTGTCAAAGGCGAAAAACTTTACTAAGCGCTCCAGATCTATTGGGGCTCTAAGCGCAATTAAAGTGTGGGCTTTAGATAAAAAAGGCAAAACGAAGAAAAAATAAGAACATATACGTATGAAATGCAAGAAAAATTAAGAATTTCATTCATAACGATTTCTGTAACAATTAATATATTTTTGCCAATTAAATTTATTGTTTTGCACCGCTTTATTCAAGATAGAACTTATTGGCAATGAGGTGCACGCCTTAGTGCCTTGCCTACACTGAAGGCGCAACCTCAGTGAGGCGAAACGCATACCCTGAGCTTTTTTGAGCTCCAGGGCTTAAGTGCACCTCAAAGGAGCCTTTGACAACACACAAGCGCGGG